ATATGATTATCTCAATAGACGCAGAAAAAGCCTTTGACAAAACACGGCACCCATTCCTATTAAAAACACCGGAGAGCATAGGAATAAAAGGTGCTTTATCTTAAAATAACAAGTAATATTTATCTAAAACCATCAGCAAGCATTATCTGTAATGGGGATAAGCTAGAAGCCTTCCCAATATAATCAGGGGTGAAGCAAGGATGCCAATTATTACTTCTGTTGTTCAATATTGTATGAGAAATATTAGCTATAGCAATAAGAGAAGAAAAAGAAATTAATTAGAATAGGCAGTGAGGAAACAAAACTATCATTTTTTTCAGATTATATGATGTTATACTTAGAAAATCCTAGAGAATCAACTAAAAAACTACTTGAAATTATTAACAACTTTAGCAAAGTTGTAGAATACAAAATAAACCCATACAAATCATCAGCATTTCTATATATTACCAACAAAGTCCAGCAGCAGGAGATAGAAAGAGAAATTTCGTTTAAAATAACTGTAGACAATATAAAATACTTGAGAGTCTGCTTGCCAGGACAAACCCAGGAATTGTATGAACACAAGTATAAAATACTTTTCACACAAATAAAGTCAGATCTCAACAATTGGAAAAGTATTAATTGTTCGTGGGTGGACTGAACCATTATAATAAAGAGGACAATTCTACCTAAATTAATCTATTCAGTGCCATACCAAACCATCAAAAAATTATCTTATAGAAGTAGGAAAAATAATAATTCATTTGAAAGAACAAAAGCTCAAGAATATCAGTGAAAAACATGCAAAAGAAGGTGGTCTAGCCATATCTCAAACTATATTATAAAGTGGCAATTATCAAAATTATCTGGTACTGGCTAAGAAATAGAGTATGGTAGATCAGTGGAATAGATTAGGTACAAATTACATTATGGTAAATGACTATAGTAATCTAGTATGTGATAAACCCAAAGATCCAAGCTTTTGGAACAGAAACTCATTATTTGACAAAAAGTGCTAGGAAAACTGGAAAACAGTATGGCAGAAACTAGGTATAGACCAACATCTCACACTGCACACCAAGATATGGTCAAAATGGGTTTATGATTTATACTTAGAGGGTGATACCATAAGCAAATTAAGAGAGCATGGAATAGTTTATCTGTCAGATTTGTGGATAAGGGAAGGATTTAGGACCAAAGAAGATATGAAGAGCATTACAAAATGTAAAATAGATTATTTTGATTACATAAAATTAAGAAGTTTTTGCACAAACAAAACCAATGCCACCAAAATTATAAGAAAAACACGAAACGGGTGGGGGTGGGAATTTGCAATAAGTATGTCTGATAAAGGCCTCATTTCTCAAATATATAGAGTTGAGTCAAATTTATAAAAATATAAGTCATTCCTCAATTGATAAATGGTCAAAGGATATGAATAGGCAGTTTTCAAAGAAATCAATGCTGTCTATAGCCATATGAAAAAATGTTCTAAATCACTATTGATTAGAGAAATGCAAATCATATTAGCTAATATGACAGAAAAGGAAAATGTTTGATGTTGGAGGAGATGTGGGAAAAGTGAGACTATTGGTGGTTATGAAGTGATCCAACCATTCTGGAGAGCAATTTAGAAATATACCCACTGGGCTATAAAACTGCATACCCTTTGATCTAGCAGTACTACTACTAGGTCTGTGTCCCAAAAAGGGAAAAGGACCTATTGGTACAAAAATATTTATAGCAGCTCTTTTTGTGGTGGCTATGAATTGGAAATCAAAAGGATGCCCATCAATTGGGGAATGGCTAAACAAGCTGTGGTATATTAGTGTAATGAAATATTATGGTGCTATAAGAAATGACAAGCAGGATGATTTCAGAAAAACCTGGAAAGACTTACATGAACTGATACATAGTGAAGTGAACAGAACCAGGAGAACATTGTACACAGTAACAGCACTATTGTTCGATGAAGAACCGTGAATGACTTAGCTATTCTCAGCAATACAGTGATCTAAGAGAATCCCAAAGGTCTAATAATGAAGCGTACTATCTGCCTCTAGAGAGAGAACTGATTTTGATTGGATATAGACTGAAGCATGCTATTTTTCACTTTCTTTTTTTTTTCTTTTATTTGAATCTTCTTGTACAAAATGACTAATGTGGAAATGTTTTCTATAATTGCACATGTGTAACCTATATCTGCTTACCATCTCAGAGAGGGGAGGGGGAAGAAGGAAGGGATAGAATTTGGGATTCAAAACTTTAAATAAAAATGTTTTTAAAAATTGAAAAAAAAAGACACCTTAAAAATAATTTTGAAATATAATAAAAATACTAATACCTTCCATCCCCCCAAAAAAGAAGATATGTGTATCATCTTCCCATTTAGAAAGGCAAATAATTTAACTTGTTGAGTCCCTTATGATTTCTCTTTCATGTTTGCCTTTTTATGCTTCTCTTGTGCGTTGTATTTAAAAGTCAAATTTTCTATTCAGCTCTGGTCTTTTCATCAGGAATGCTTAAAAGTCCTGTTTCATTCAGTGTCCATTTTTTTTCCCCTTGAAGGATTCTACCCAGTTTTGCTGGGTAGGTTGTTCTTGGTTGTAATCCCAGTTCTTTCACCTTCCAGAATATTATATTCCAATTCCTCTACTCCTTTAATGTGGTAGCTGCTAAATCTTGTGTGATCCTGATTGTGGCTTCATGGTGTTTGAATGATTTCTGTCTGGCTGCTTGAAGTATTTTCTCTTTGACCTGGGCACTCTGAAATTTGGCTGTAATATTCCTAGGTGTTTTCATTTTGAGATCTCCTTCAGATGTGACTGGTGGATTTTTTTCAATTTCTATTTTACCCTCTGGCTCTAGGATATCAGTGTGGTTTTCCATGATCATTTTTTGAAATATGATGTCTAGACTCTTTTTTTAATTCATGATTTTGAGGTAGTTTTATTGTTTCTTGATATCTCATTGAGTCATTAGCTTCCATTTGCCCAATTCTAATTTTTAAGGAATTATTTTCTTCAGTGAACTTTTGTACCTCTTTTTCTATTTGGCCAGTTCTGTTTTTTTAAGCTATTAATTTCTTCAGTATTTTTTTTTCTGCCTCTTTTTTGCCAAGCTGTTAATTGTCTTCATAATTTTCTTCATTTGTTTTCATTTTTTTGCCTAATTTTTCCTCTCTAACTCTGAGTTTGAAAATAATTTTTTAGCTCTTCCAGGAATTCTTGTTGGACTTGTGTCCAATTCACATTTTTCATTGAGAGTTTCCTTGTGACTGTTGACGTCATTGTCTTCTTCTGAGTTCGTGTCTTGATCTTCCCTGTCACTGTAGTAGCTTTTTATGGTCAGGTTCTTTTTTTGTTGTTTGTTCATTTTTCTGGCCTATTTCTTGATTTTGAACTTTATGTTAATGTTGGGCTCTCTTCCTGGTGTTGGGGGGGTTGAGAGGGGCATTGCCCCAAGCTTTAGGCTTTGTCACACTGCTGTTTTCAAAGCTAGTTCTGGGGGCATTAAAGTTTTCAGTGTCTACAAGGTGGTATGAACTGGGGAGAGGTGTGGTCACTGCTCTCGTGGTTTGAACTCTGGTCCTTACCCAGGAAGGGCCCCTGATTTCATTTGGAATTGCAATTGATACAGTTCCTCAGGTCCCTGATCCCTTGGGACCAGAAATGATACTGCCTCTGAAGACTTCTGGTCCATCTTAACCAAAAGTGCTCCTCTCCTCGCTTGAACTATGACCCAGAAGTTCATATAAGCAGTGGAATTGCCAGTGTCTGGTCCTCCATCTAGTTTTAGCATAAGGGTACCCTGATGTTTTTCTGACCAGTTTCCAGGTCCCCTTGCTGCTGGGTTGAGGGCTCCCAAAGCTGCTGCTGTTTCTGTCACCATCACCTATTCCCTCCATGGAACTTTAGCCCCACATCATCGGGTGCTTATCGGATATTTCAAACTGGACATCTCTAAAACATCTTAAACTCACCATGTCAAAAACTGAACTCATTATCTTTCCTCACAAACCCTACTCTCTTCTGAACTTGCCCATTTCTGTTGAAAGCACCACCATCTTTTGAATTTCCCAGGTTCATAACCTCAGCATTAGCCTAAACAACTCATTTTCCCATGTATCCAATCAGTTCCAACTCTTGTCATTTCTACCTTTGCAACACCTCTTCCATCTGACCCCTTTTTTCTGCTCACACAGCTGCTACTATAGTTTAGACCTTCATCATCTGTTTTCAGGATTATTGCAACACCCTCCTAATTGGTCTTCCTTTACTCTAGTCCATCTTAAGTAACTTTCCTTAAGTGTAGCCCTGCCTAGGTGATTCCCCTAGTCAGTCTGCTCTAGTGGCTTGCTATTGCTTTTCAAAAGAAATATAAACTGGTCTGTTTAGCTTTTAAAGCCCTGTACAGTCTAGCCCCAGTCTATCAATCCGGCCTCATTGAACATTGTTCCCCATCTCACTCTCAGCTGTGTGGCCAAACTGGCCTTCTCTGTGTTCTTCACATGACACTATCTCTACTCTTCATGCCTTAACCCTGGCTGTCTCCTATATCTGGAATGCCATTCCTCCTTAATTTCACCTTAAAAAGTCCCTTTCTTCCTTTAACATGCTGTTCTTCTGCATGCCATCTTTCCCAGTCCCCCCAACTGCTTGTGCCCTTTCTCCCAAACTACCTTGTATTTAACTAATTTGTACATATTTGTATTTATTCACCTTATTTATGACATGTACATATGTATAGCTATACACACCTTCCTGTGAGAATGTCAGTTCCACAAAATAAGGATTGTTTCATTCTTCATGCCGGTATCTTTTTTGCCCAGCACAGTGCCCTGGAATGAGGAGGCTCTTGATAAGTCTTTGTGGAGCCACTCTTGGGCAGAATCCACCCCTGGCCCACACTACCCCAAGAGCCCAATCCCCTGAACAATCTGTGTGTGAGAGTATTCCACAAGAACTGGTGTCACTGACTCTTCTTCCCTTTCCTTCCTCTTTGCCTCCCTCCATCAGGGTCACTCAGGATGTGTAAACTGCCTGGAATGGAATGAGAAAGGAGAGTGAGTATCAGCCCTTGGGTTCCCCAGGAGATGGCACTGAGGCTGAGAGGAGCAGGGTTGGCCTGAGCTTGAGAGGCTTCTTTCTAGAGACCTCTTAGACCTGTCTCTTAGTGGACTGAAGAGGCAGCAGGAATTGGAGCCAGAGCTTTTTCTCAATTCCCCACCTTTACTTGAAAGTATTATTTTCCCTTCTTGTTTTCTGGCCACCTGATAAATAGTTTCCTTTAGTCCCTTAGTCCCCTAAACCAGCGATTCCCTAACCCAGGTTTTTTGACAGCATATCACAGTTCTTTCTTTTTTTTTTAATGTTTTTGATGCTTTCTTTCATTACATCAGTCATTTCTGGAGGGGGAAAACAAATGAACAAATTTCCCCCTTTCAAGATTGAGCGTTCCTTTGTATCACAGTATTTCAAAAACTAGCATGAAATTCCCAAAATTATACTTTACTTTGTGGTTTTAAAAAATGCTCACGTGATACCTAGCCCTCTAGCCATAAGCCTCTCTAGGAGCAAAGATAGCTCTTGAAGCCTTTCTAGCTTATTATAGGTCCTTAAAAATTTTGCTCTGCTAGCAAAGTAAAAAACTTTCAGTCTTTTCTGTGTTATGATAGGGCATAGAAAGAGGACTTCAGTGGAGCAAAAACACAAGCTAATATTTTAAAAGTTTATAGCATATAGTCGGCTATGGGGTGTCATGACGTTAGACCAACAATAACCCTTTTAATAATCCTTTTAAAAGGATGGGCATTTCTAGCACAGCCTTATGTCCAAGCCAAGGAAAGCTAGGGAGTCATGAGAAGAGAAAGGCTACCTAGAAGCCGGGAATATTGGGAAAGTAAAAGCACCAAAGAACCCTCAGAGACAGGCCCTCTAGAGATCCACAGCTGTGGATCTCTAGAGAAATGGCAAGACTCGTTGCTTTCTGGGACTGAGTGCCGTGAAGGACTCAGCCCGTCTCCTGCTCTGATCTCCAGTTTGCTAGCGTCTGGCTCCGATGACCAGCACACCATCGTGTGGGATCCCTTGCACCACAAGAAGCTCCTCTCCATGCATACGGGGCACACAGCCAACATCTTCTCTGTCAAGGTGAGTGGAGGCTGGAGAGGCATTGGGAAGAAAGGGAAGGAGTGTGGTTGATGACTGAGCGTGTTCCAGTCTTTTGAGGACACTGGTGTGATACTGGTTGTCTTTTTAAAAGCTTGGGTCTCAAGCCCCCAAATTATGTTCTTTGTCAACCGGCTGCATCCAGATTGGAGAACTCAAAACCTCTTTAGGGCCAGTCAGACATGAGAATCCTAGAATATCAGAGCTGAAAGGAGCCTTAGAGCTCATCTGCTTCAGCCACCTCGTTTTAAAGGGGAGGAGAATGAAACACAGTGAGGTTAAGTGAGTCGCCAGCATGGTTGGCTAGTAGATATTGGAGCTAGGAGTCAAACCCAAGTCTTCTGACTTCAAATTCAGTGTTCTTTTCGCTCTGCTTGTGCTGCCTTGTGCATAATCTTAGAGCTAGAAGGAACCATAGGCTTGTAGTCCAACCTTATCATTTTACGCATGAAGAACTGAGACCCTGAGAAAGGAGATGCCTTGTCCAAGGTCACATGACTTGCGATACAAATGCCACCCTGGATGTGTTCATGTCTGTTTTCCTGGGCCCTGGTCAGTTGCCATGGGACCTCACTTCTCCAATGTCTCTTGACCCCAGACTTCTTTTTCAAAACAAGGGAAATAGTTTTTACAGTGTGCTTTTATTTTTGCAGCTTGCTTTGAGTTAAGTAGGACCCTCTGAGAGACAATGGCATTGCTGAATTGCCTTAATGGTTGGATGACAGAGGGCACATCCTGTGCCCAGGCAGGTTGAAAGCCATTTCTCAGGCTCTGCAGTCTGAGAAAAGGTTCTAGGCAAGCTATGCCTTCTGCATCCCACCCAGACTATAGTAGGAGTCTGTTGTAGAGATGATAAGACCACAAGTGCATGCAGTGCCAGCACTCACCTCCTGCTTATCTTGACCATGGATCAGTGTTTCCCACTTCAGATCATGCTGAATCCTTTCTGCCAAAGCTGCTGATAATCCCTAAATACCGGTGAATTGGTTTTGGATGGCTGTCACATAGTCAACAAACATTTATTAAGTGCCTACTTTGGGAAGGGCAGATGGAGAGAAGGGATCATTAGTGCAGGAATGGCTTCTTTTCAGTTGTGTGGCTTTGTGTGTGTGAGAGCAGAATGATGCACAGACAGCCTGCAGAAAAATCCCTGAACATCATCCTTTTTTCCAGCTAGCTCACGTTTCTGTAGCTCTTCTGTAGGTGGCTAATCAGGGGCTTTTCCTCACCACAACCCCATGGAGTAAGTCATAGTACCATAGCTCCCATGTCTGCAGTGCCCTACAGTTCATAAAGTGCTTCCCTCACAGCCCTGGGAGGAATTATTAACAAGTCTTATCTCCATTTTACAAATGAGAAAGCTCAGCCTCAGAGACATTAAGGGCTTTGCCTTAGCAATGCTGCCAGTAAATGGCTGGTGTGGTCTCAGATGGAGCCCTTTTGATCCTGGGTCCAGTGCTTTCTGCCATAGCAAGCAGACATTAGGTTAGTTCTTGTACGGATGTCTCCAAAGTTCTTACTTGGGGAAGAGGACCTGTCTGAATGAAAGAATTAGGTGCATGGGTCTACAGACTCAGGATTATTCCCCTACACCCAATGAGAGAAGTCAAACTCTGACAGATGAGTAAAGAGGGAAGAGTTCTGTATTCTAGCTCCTGTTTCTGATGAAAGCTCCAGGGCTGGCATCTGGGGATTGTAAATTCCTTGAAGGCAAAGACTGTTTTGTTTTGCTTTTGTCTTTGTACTCCCCAACACTTAGCACGATTGGCTGGCATACAGCAGGTGCTTGATAAATACTTTTTGATTGGTTGATTGATTGGGAAAGAGAATCCTTTTGTCTAAAGAAGAAAAGTTGAGAAGTCGAATAGCTACCGGAGTCGAAACTGACTTTTCCCCTTCTCCACCACCACCCACAACAATATTTGCCCACACTAGTTTCTGCCTCATGCTGGGGATCGGATCTTGATCACGGGAGCAGCTGATTCTAAAGTACACGTGCATGACCTGACTGTGAAAGAGACGATCCATATGTTTGGAGACCACACAAACCGGGTGAAGCGCATCGCCACGGCCCCGATGTGGCCCAACACCTTCTGGAGCGCTGCAGAGGATGGGCTCATCCGGTAAGCGTCCCAGCCCAGTCTTTATGCCAGGCTCTGTTTCAGGCCTGGCCAGCCCTTCAGGCATGTACTCAGGCCCCATTTTGCTGCCCGTTGCAGAAGTCTGTTTCTTTTCTAAAACACATCTAAATGTGTTTGGAGCAGCAAGACGAATCAGTAAGGATTTCCTAAAATGGCCAACCAGTTACTATTCTGTGCCTAGCCCTGTCCTAAGTGCTGTGGCCAAGGGAGGGAGGAAAGGTTGTCCAAGAGAAGTATAAGATGTTTACCCTCAATCAGAAAGAAGACAAGACATGAAGATGTGTGAACCAATTAGCAAATGATATAAAACAAATCTTCCTAATGCAGGTCCTTGTTTTGACCCACTTGTACTCTTATAATCTCCTCATAGGTTCTCCCTTTTCCAATCCATCCTTCACAACAATGCCAGAATAATCTTCTATTTTTATAGATCTGGCCATGCTACTCCTGCTCAGAAATCTTCAGTTGATCCAAGGTTCCTATTGAATAAAGTTCAAATTCTTGAGCTTAGTATTCAAGGCCTCTCATGATCTGGTGCTACATTCTCTTTCTGTCATCTTTACTCCTTCCCATGTACTCTGCCCTCTAGCCAATCTGGACTCCTCATCACTCCCTGTGTGTCCTCACTACCCGCCATGCGCCCCAGCCCTGTGATTTTCCTCATGTTGTTCCCTTTGCCAGGAATACCTTTCTCTCTCCGCCTTGCCACATCTGTTGAATTCTTACCCATCCTTTAAAACTGAACCCCGATGCCTCCTCTGTGAAGCCTTTCCTGACTGTGACCTTTTCCCTCCTTGAACTTCACATAGTTCTTGGTTTGTTCACCCTCTGTGCACTTCTGTATGTAACATTTTGTATTTTAGTTATGTGTGTGTATCTTCATACTAGACTACAGGTTCCATAAGGGTAGGGATGGGCTTGTCTAGGCTTTTCATCTCTCCCAGCACGTCGCCCTGTCCTGTCAATACAATAGGCACTTAATAAATGTTTGAATTAATTTGAATCATAGTTCAGTCATTCAGCAAGCATTAATCGATTATGAAGCATGTACAGAGCATTTCAGGAGATAAACAACAAGGAATGTTATCCTCCCACTTAAAGAACATGGTGGCAGGCACAGTAAAATTGGATAAGCACCAGAAGGGAGTACAGAAGGGATTCGCAAGTCTAGGAGAGGGAGGGAAGCAGGGAGAAGAGTGAGAAGAGGCTTCACAGGGCGACTGGAAACACCTGGGGATATGTCCGGGGAGTCTGGCCAGAACAGGGCATGTGAAGGGGAATGGCGACATCGCACTGTACAGGGAGGCTGGGAACAAGGCGAGGAGGGCCTCGAATGCCAGACAAACAGATTTGTACTTTGTTCCATTGGCAGCAGGTTTAGGGGCAGGGGAATAACGTGGTATTATAGAACATAGAGCTGAAAGGACCTCGCCCTCAAGATTAGTTAGTAATGCATTAGAACAGCTTATCTGGCAGTCTGGAGTGGAGGAATTGGAGCAGGAGTTGGTTGGAAGCAGGCGAAAAGTAACATGGGCCTAAACTCTAGCAGGAGCAATGGAAGTACAAAGCGTAGAAGAGGAGTTGCCAAGACTTGGCCATTAGACATGGAGAAAAATGGGAGAGTCAGAGATGACTCCAAAGATCTTTAAGCCTGTTTGCTTGGAAGGCTGGTGTATGCCACTCATAGGAATGGGTAGTCAGGAATAAGAGTCGGTTTGAAAGGCTTAAATTAGTTTAGTCTTGGAGGTGTTGAGTTTGAAATACTGGTGGGGTATCCAATTGGATACATTCAGCAGGCAAACAGAGCTTTGATTCTTAAGCTTTGGAGAGAGACTGGAGTTAAAAATACAGATTCGGGGATAGCTGCATAGATCGTGGTTGAAGGCCACACACGAGAATTAGATCAGAGAAAGAGAGAACATCTGTGCAGACCAGTGGCATAGGAACCCTTGGAGGAAAGTTCCCATAAGAAAGGCCTGGTCAACAGTGACAGTCGCTGCAGAGGGGTCACGGTCATCAAGGACTAAGCACAGTTCAGTGGATTTGATGATTGGAAGTCATTGGTAACCTCAGAAAGAGTTGTTTCAGTAGAGTGGTGGGAATGGAAACCAGATAGCAATAGTAAAGTAAAGGCAACGGAAGTATCAAAGTTTAGTAGTGAGAGAGGAAGTAGAGGGGAGGTGGTTAGAGAGGTTGTGGCAGAGGAGCCTGCAGGTGGGTGTGTGTAGGCAAATGAAGGACTAAAGCAGATGACTGTAAAGATGTGTGGGGGGGAGAGAGATGAGGGAAGTACCAGGCTCCAGATATTACTGGAGAGGGTGCATCTGGGACACAGGTGCAAGGTGAGTTGGGTGAGGAGGCACAGGCTCCAGCTCTCCTTGGGAGGCAGGAGGAAAGAGAGAGGACAAGTGAAGATGCTGAGCACTTCTGAGGAGTGGAATAGAAGAGCTGAGAAAAGCTGACACTGGAGGCTTGGTCCTGGGGGGGCCTGAAGGAAGATGGGAAAGATTTAAAACAGTCACCATTTCACAGTGAATGTGTTTACTTTCATATGAAAATCCCCACTTATCGGTACAGTTTCTGGTACAGTGAGGCCCCTCAGGCTCTTCCCTCTTTGAAATCTCATGGTGTCAGCTTCTACCCCGAGGTGATACCTAGAGTCCACAGAAGGCTTAGTCTCTCTGCTGCTCTCCACAATGGCTTACATCTTCCCAACTCTTCTGTCCTGCAGTCAGTATGACCTTCGAGAGAATAGTAAACACTCAGAGGTGCTGATCGACCTGACCGAGTATTGTGGCCAGCTGGTGGAGGCCAAATGCCTCACAGTCAACCCCCAAGACAACAACTGCCTGGCGGTAGGGGCCAGTGGACCCTTTGTGCGGCTCTATGATATCCGAATGATCCACAATCACAGGTATGGCCCTCTGGCCCACTAACCCCACCAGAGCCAAGGGCACTGCCACCAGCCATCTTCCTCTCCTTCAGGCCCCACCCCTTCTTACTTGGTGGCTGTTTTAAGCTGTGAAGGGAACTGCCTTCTGTTCCATCTCCCAAACCTTCTGGAGGCCCCAGAAGGGCTCCCTGGTGGTATCTGAACTCCCTCGGGGACCCTAAAGCAGAACCCTTAAAGTGGTTTTAGGCTTTCCAGGTTCACTCTAGAACCTGTTGGAGATCTCAGGGTGGTTGCTGGCTTCACTGGTGCAGATTAAAGCCCATCTATCCCTTGTCCTGGACCACACCCCTCTAGACTGCTCCCTAAATGCTCCACAAGGGTCCTTTATGTTCTTTTCATACCTTGGGGGGTAGCCAGGCAGTGCTTGCTAGCTAGCCATCCATTGTCTCACTTCCCATACGTGACCTGCCCCCTTCCTTTTTCAGCTGTCTGCACCCTAGAATGGTGCTAGATCACTTCCCATTTGCAAATTGTTAGCAGGCACCACTATTAGTCTTTCTATTGCCCTTTGAGTTTTCTGATACTGTGATGATCTGTGATTCACAGCATCAGTGGAAATACCCTAGGCTTGCTTGGGAGGAGGGAGGAGTTTTACATGATATTTTCAGTGCCTCATGGAGCAGTCTTCCTCCCCTCCCCTTCCCCGTGGGTAGGCATGAACCATGCACCAGCAGCAGAGGGCACCTTACTGGGTAAATAGGGAAGACATTATATGACCTGATGAGGAAAGATGCCACCTGCCATGTCATTCAATTCATCAAGTATTTATTAAGCACCTACCATATACAAAGCACTGTGCCGGGGACAAAAAGACAAAATGAAAAACCATCTCTTGATGCCATGCCACAGACTGTCTGATTTCATCTTGTAATACCACCCTTAGGTGGCGATTCTTAATTTTATGGTTCCCTCTCCTGGCAGAAAAAGCATGAAGCAAGGCCCTTCAGCTGGTGTGCACACGTTCTGTGACCGGCGGAAGCCCCTCCCTGACGGTGCTGCCCAGTACTACGTGGCAGGTAAGACTGTCCAACCACAGCCCCTGGAGAACCTCCTCATTAGGTCCAGGCTGACTCTTTGGGGAGGGTGGGAAGTACAACTGACTGGGGGAAATACCACCATCATCTAGGGACAGAGGGCTATTGGGCCTTTGGCGCCTTTTCTGTAGGGTAGAATGAACTGGTAGCTTATGGAAAGAGCCTCGGGTCTTCTGGGCCTCAGCTCTGCTCTTCAGCAACCAGCTCCAAGCCTCGTCTCTGGCCACAGCTCCCCATACTCAACTGACTGAAGAGTCAAGTTATTTCATTCTAGGCCTTAGGTAATCTCCAAGATCCCTTTCAATGTTAACGATAGTGATCTAGAGAGTTACTCTTATTATGTGGCCTTATTCATCTGTCTATACCATTATGGACAAACTGGGGTGCCAAGGACCCTGTTGCCAGAAAAGCTGCCTAGTCTGATGATGAAGCAGCTATAGGGAGAAATGATAGGCAAGGAGTGGGAGGTTAGACAGCTCAGGTTGAGAACCCTGCCGTTAACTGGTTGAGTGACTTTTAAGGAAACAAATTAAGGAGACAGCCTGCTTATTGGTCAGTGATATGGCTGAGAGATCATAATCTCCCTTCTTATTAACCCACAAGTGTTTTGTTAGGATCAAATGAAGTGATGTGTGTCAAGGTGCTTTGAAAAGCGCTTCATGTTAAAGCATTAGGAGAGAGAGCACAGAAATGGTGTCTGGACTTGGAGGGAGAATCCCCAATACCTGCAGGAAAGAGAAGTGGGCAAAGGGACTTGCCCCTTTCCTTCCTTTCTCTAGCCAGTCTTCATGTCTGTAATTGTGTTGAAAAAGAATGAATGCCATAGACTTGACTGTGATGCATCTCTGACACCGTGTGTGAGTCTCTGCTTCTTCATTCACAAGATCTGACGCTGGGCTAGTGGGTGTGAGAGGAGGTTGGCGGGTGAGTGAGGTTGGAACGGAGACCTTACATCCCAGTGGTTGGCCTGTCCCTCACAGGGCACTTACCAGTGAAGCTGCCGGACTACAATAACCGCCTTCGAGTGCTGGTTGCTACCTACGTCACCTTCAGTCCCAATGGCACCGAGCTGTTGGTCAACATGGGAGGGGAACAGGTAGGCCCTTTAGTGGGAAATAGCTGAGCCTTGCACGTAGCCCTGTGTCCAGCTTGGTTACCACAAAGGATGTTAGGATAGAATGGAGAAAACAGTCTTGACTTCATAGCCAGAGGTCCCCAGGGAATGGGGGTTCTGTTCCTCACTCATTTTGTTTAAAAAATAAAAGGTCGAACCCGACCTGCAGAGGTAAATGAGAAACAGGACCTGCTCGCTGTACCAAGCAAAAGGGCAAGAAAGTGGGCATGGGGCCATAGTGTTGGGGTCAGGGCCTTGCCTAGCTGGCATCCCTTTTCTCTGGGACGGGGAAATCTGAAGGGGAAACAGGTGGTGACTTTCTGTCATCTGGTTAGATGGGTACTAGAAGGAACGAGTCTTCAAAAAGGTAGTGCTCCTGTATCCCCCGTGTTATTTTAGAAGTGCCAGGATGGCAAGAATATGGTCTTCCATATCTTTGTGTGTCCTCTAGAACTAAGCACTATGTTCTTCACACAGGGTTTTAAGAAAGAGCCATAGTTTAGTGTCCTCAGAACCTCTAAAGAGCTTTGGGCCAAATTTATCGTATGCTTATTGAGCATTCACTTCATATTAGATCCATTTTAATCGAACTGTAGGATGGGGATAACAGTTCTTGTACTACCCACCTGTCAAGATTATTTAATCTGTTAGGCAAGCATTTTATAACCCTTAAATGGGCATGAAGCATTTCATTATTTATTGCCTTTTAATATCATTAATCCCTAACTCTGTCCCTTGTGGCTGTGTGACTAGGCACATCACTTCCCCACTCTGGACCTAATTGCATGTTCTCTGAAATGATGGAGTTGGAGTTGATGGTCTCTAAGCCCCCTTCCAGCCCTAAGATACTGTGATCCCAAATGAGTCAATATATAAAGGGTTCAGGCCCTCAGAAGAGGGGAGGACAGGGGAGAGGGGGGAAGGACACTGCAGGCTGGAGGAGCTGGGGAGGGCTTTCTAGGTGCACTAAGCCTTCTGACCCAGAGAGTAACAGGTAGGATGGGTTCTGGTTGGGAGTCAGGAGAGTACACTGGGAAGATGGCAGAATTCATGGAGCCGTATCCCACAGACTTCAAGCCTTGTTTCCCTCTGCTGTGAAATGAAGAGAAATACTGTCTGTAGTAACCTCTTCTCAGAGATTAGTCTTGTAAAGATCACAATGAAAGAATTCCATGAAGCCCTTTGTAAACCTTAAAGAGCTGTATGCATTTCAGCTCTTAATAACTCTTCATGTCTTTTAATATGAATTGGCTGAATATTCCTCAGAGAGCTCTTGTTCTGGAACTGCCTAGTGCCCTAATAGATCCTCGTCTGGCAAGGCCTTGAGTACCGTTTGTTGTGAATCCTCCCTGCCATCTATTTGGCATCTACTGTAACCTAGCTTTTTAGGATACATCCCTGAAGAGGGTGGAGTCTTTGCTGCCCGTTAATGACAGTGAGGCAGTTTCATGGCCTCTATCTGTCTGTCTGTCTTCTCTCTCTCTCTCTCTCTCTCTCTCTCTCTCTAGGTCTATTTGTTCGACCTGACGTACAAGCAGAGACCATATACCTTTCTCCTGCCAAGGAAATGTCACTCATCAGGGGGTGAGTGTGGGAATGGGAGGGCCCAGGTTCCCGACACTACCTTCTCTTCCCCATCAAGTCAGAATGGAGGTGTCAGAGACTGACACCCTTTACTGTCAGGCTGATCCCATGGGTCCAGATGTCGGTCCTTTATAAAGACATTGCTAGATGACTTGTCAGTGTTTTTCTTCCCTCCAGTTCAGCTCCACATTCATTTTATTACCACTGTTCCCCCTCCCCAACTACTAGGCTGGGCTTATACCCCCTGGACAGCCAGCATAGGTCATGTTGAACTTCCTTGGATATTGATAGGGGGCCTTGTCAGTAGTAGCCTTTTCCTCCAACCTTCCCCCATTGTGGAACCTCTCCTTTGGAACAGTGCTCTATGCACCTTCCCATTTCTCCTGGCGTGGCTGGGAGAATCTCTAAGCCTATTTTGTCCACTAGTCAATAAACTTTCCCTTTAAGTACCCAGTGCCTATCATCAGCAGGTCCTGCCTGGCTTTGGGTGGGAGTGGAAGCAACATCATCCATGCCTAGAATTTAAGCTGTCTCTTTCTCCTTTCTTCTTCCCCCACACCCATCAGAGGTCCAGAATGGCAAGATGTCCACCAATGGCATGTCCAACGGGCTCCACCTGCACAGCAATGGCTTTCGATTGTCAGAAGGCAGAGCACACGTAAGGTAATGTCAGCTTTCAGGCTGCAGTAACTCTCCTGAATTGTGATGTATCCCATCAGATGACTTGGCACCATTCACCGTTTTCCCAGAGAGGGAGGGAAAGGATATGGATCTGCTGTATAGGCAAGAGAGGGCCAGCAAAGCCATGGGTATGGAACGGTTTGTGGGTGGAGAAGCTGCTTTGTTTCTTCTGCCTGGTCAGGCCTCTGGGAATAAGGAATGTGTCAAATCATGCCCTCCCAGGCTTGCATCAGCAAGGGCTGAGGCCCCAGAGTTCACTGTGCCCTCACCCTCTCCTGTCTTGATTTCCCCCCTTTGCTCTCTCCCCTGTAGTCTCCCAAGTTTCCGGTAAGGATAGGATGAATAGGAACCATTTCCAACACACAGAAAGTGGAGGGGAGAGATAATGTAATAGGGGGAGAAATTGTCATTTGGGAATTGTCTTGGGAGGTAGGTATGACATTTTCTGGCTCCTTAGGGCCTGGAGGGCAAGAAACCTTGACCAGGGAGTTGGAACTTTACAGCTCATGAAGTGTTATGAGTCTCCAACTCACCTCTGCATAGCTTTGATAAGTATAACTAGATGTCTTTGTGTTGTAGAGGGAGGGAGATGACTCAAGAGGCTCCCTTCACATCCATCGAATCTAGGATCAAAAAATTTGGTTCAGTTTGACAGACATTATTCAGCCCCTGCTTTTATGTCAAGGTTCCCAAAGATCTCAACAGGCATTGGGCCAAATCTAACGAGATGAAATTCAACAGTGATACATATGAAGTCTAACTCTTGAGCTCCAAAAATTAGCTTCAAGAACAAGACGGGGTTCAAATCCTGCTGCAGACATTTGACACTTAACACTTAACTAGCTGTGCGACCTTGTACAAGTCACTTAACCCCGATTGCCTAGCCAAAAAAAAGAAAGAAAGAAAAAGAAAAAAGAACAAAACGGGGGTAAAGGGGGCAGCTAGGTGGTGCAGTGGATAGCGCACTGGCCCTGGAGTCAGGAGGACCTGAGTTCAAATCTGGCCTCAGACACATAACACTTGCTAGCTTTGTGACCCTGGGCAAGTCACTTAACCCCAATTGCCTCACCTGAAAAAAAAAAAAGAGAGAGAGAACAAGACGGGGAAGGCAGGATTAGGAAACAGTTTGTCTGAAAAAGAGCTGGCGATTTTAGTGGACTGCAATCTCCATAGGCATCAGCAGTGTGTTGTGGCAGCCAACTGGTCTAATGCTGTTTGGCTCTACCTGGAGAGAAGCAGTGATTTCAGAGACAGAGCAGTGATCATCCCTATGGCCCCTGCCCCAGTCAGAGCAAATCTGAAGGGTTGAATTTATTTCTGGCAGCTACAGCTTAAGAAGACTTGGCATCTGGGAGCGTCCAGAGGGGCGGCAGTGAGGACCAGGTGAAAGAGCTGGGAAGATTTAACCTGCAGAAAAGACTCAGGGGAGCAGGATGGCTGTCTTTCATGTGGAAGGAGGAAGTAGATGTGTTCTGTTTGTTCTCAGAGCAGTGGGGGAGGAGCTTCCCGGAGGCACAGTCAGGCTGAATGTTGGAAGGATGTAGGAAAACCTTTCCAATAGGGAGACTGTCCAGAAGCGGAATGGGGGGACTGCCTTGGGAGACTGTGACTTCCTCATTTAGAGCGCTCAATGACCACTCGTCTAGTCCGTTAGAATGGAGAGTCCATGTAGGTTTGGGTTGAACTAGATGACTGCTGAGGCACCTTTCAGCCCTGAAATAGGGTTCTTTGATGTACAGGGCCCTGTGATAAGCATTTGGATGACAGAGGAAAGAAGGTGAACACACACGTTTTCCGAGGAGCTTATGATCTTGTTGAGGGATAAGGTGTGTATGTTTTCAAAGTGAATACGTGCACAGGAGTCAAAGAGTTTGACCAGAGAATCAAGTTGATAAATACTACTTTTATGTGGATACATCAAATAAGGCTTCTTGAAGGAGGTGGCATCTCAACTATGTGCTGGTAGAGGCTATCGGGGGTCAGAGTTGGAAGGGTAGAGGACAAGAGGGGCCAGGATAAGGTGAGCAAAAGTGACGAGTCAAATGTGACTCAAGAGTATGTAAAGGGGGAGTGGGGTTAAGTGAATTTGGAAAAGAAGGCCATGGAAAGCCTGTGTGGAGTTCATTCCAGAGAGTAGAGAGCCAATAAAAGGGTGGCAGAGTGTGCAGGACTTATGGGAACAGCAAGAGACTGGAGGCAGGAAGGTTGTTTAGGAAGTTATTGCAGTAGCTGAGCATCAGCTCAGGAGGGCTTGAGCAGGAGACAAGGAGGGACAAAGATGAGATGAGTGGGAGAGGTCACATGAGCAGGGCTTGGTGACCAGCTGGATGTGGAAGGTGGGAGACAAAAGAGGGAGGCTTTGAGCTGGGCTGATCAGGTGGTGGTGGCATCTCCACAAATGGACAAGCCAGGGTACGAGGCAAGCTTCGGAGAGGAAGACGTGAGCTTGAGTTTTCAGTCATCCAGGTATAGATTCTTAGCAGACAGTTGGAAGTATGAGACTGGGACTCAGGGGAAGGAATTACCTGGAGCTTTCCTGCCACAGCCCATTCTGTTCTTTTGTCTGCCGTCTCAGCTGCATCTCTCTGGAGCAGGAGCCCTTCTCAATGAGGTTTAAGGAAGGGGTGGCCTAGTTCCCTAGCCAGCACCATATGCTTGGCTTGGTCTGCGCTGTTCCAACATTCAAGGTTGCTCCTCCTGCCTGGCCCAGGTGCCTTGTCCCTTGCTGTCCTACCTTAATTTTCTCCCGTTTTACCTCTTCTCTGTAGTCCCCAAGCAGAGCTGCCTCCATCCCTAGAGCGAGTAAAGCAGCAGGCCAATGAGGCTTTTGCCTGCCAGCAGTGGACTCAAGCCATCCAGCTTTACAGCAAAGCTGTGCAGAAGGCCCCCCACAACGCGATGCTCTACGGGAACCGAGCTGCTGCCTACATGAAGCGCAAGTGGTAAGTGAACCCCACCAGTCTGGCTATCGGACAGCAGGACAGGGGTACCTGGGCATCCTTGGGCTTAGATGTGGTATCTAGCCAACCTGGCTCCTCATCCCAGAAAGACCAGCTAGAGCCAAGCTGAACTCATCCCTGGGTCACTTTGGACAAGTCACTACCTTTCTCTGAGCCTCTATTTCTAGTTCTAGAGGATTTCTGAAGTCTCTTCCAGGTTGGGTCTTCGTCATTTCCCCTGTCTGAGTCTTAGTTACCTTATTTGTAAAGCAGGGATAATAATCTTGGCACTAGCTTTCTTCTAGGGTCACTGAGGAAAGAAACTGTAAGCACTCTAGTGTCAGCTGCTGTTAGTAGGGCTTTCTCACTGTTTTCCACAGACCAGCTTAGCAAAATTCACAATCCTTCCCAAATTGACCACCAGGGGATGAATTTTTCAGCAACTTATGAAGCCCTTCTAAGTCATAGAGGGATTATGGTCCACATGAGTGAGAATCACAGATGTTTGAGGCATCAAAGTCTGGGCTGGGGGTTGTACCCTGTCCCTGGGAACCTTGGCTTTCCCCAGGAAGGAGAAGATGCAAAAGAATCCCCACCCATGACACAGAGCCTATGGCCATGTCACCTGAGTTCCACATTAGTACTGAACCACCTCTAGTCCACCTCTAGACAAGCACCGCTTGTCACTGATTCAGCAGAAGAGTTCAGGGACTTCCCTGAAACCAAGTGTGGACGAGGGGCAATAATTACAAAAGGTGTAGTACAGATACGAGGCAAAGAAATTTGGTGAAGCCATTAGTGTCCGTCTAGAGAGAGATCCTGCAGCTTTTTTGGTCTTTGATGCTTTTCATCTAAACAAGGAGTCCTAGAGATACAGAGCCTGTTGTGAGCTTCAGCTCCTCCTCAAGGGCTAGCAGTTAGACTTTGAAAGGTCCTCTCTCTCACTTTGCCCATCAAGCGAGATGATATTTGCTTCTCACAGTGCCTGGCACATAGTAGGTGCTATATATAAATGCTTATTCTTTTCCTTCCCATCACATCCTTGTGGGCTGACAGGCCTTCTTTTTCCTGGGAATGGGACAGTTGGTTCTCCATCCATTTCTGTTCTTTCTGACAGCTACCTGGGCCAGAGAATGCCCAGGCTGAAAAAAACCAGTAAATGCCCAATACTGGAAACCCTTCAGCACACAAGTCCTCCATGGTTATCAGTCCAGCTTTATACCTGCCCTGGGGCATTGTTGTGTCCCTTTCTAGTTGTTATGTTGCCTGGAGTTAGAAAGAATTTCCATTGGGATCTTTGGGGTCCATCTGAATTGTTTTTATCCTTCCTGCTGCTGGTGGTGTGCCCTGATAGCTCTGGCCAGGAGGTGGTGATGGTTAGTTTCCAGTTCCCTCACCCTTCATATTACAAGATGTGCTCCATCTTGTTCGTGACCTTCCTAAAATGCGCAGAGAGCAGAGCTTGCTTCTGGACAGTCACCGTCCTGTGCTCGCTTCTCTCCAGCATAGATTTCCTCCACGGTTGCTGTTGAGGCTTACATACCCAACAGGCCCCACGGCTTGCAGCGCTCTCGGCATGGTCTCTGGGCTGACTCGTGATCAGCTTTGGGAGGGGCACCTTGCAGACAGTAATTGGATTTTGGTGCTGCAGTGGTTCCTGCGTCACTCCCACTTGTTCTGGTGTCTGCTGGATCACGATGGATTCTCAGCTTCTGCATGACTGCACCCCCTCCCCTTCCACCCCATTTATTGTCGGTCTATCCTAGTCACAGTGTGGCAGCTTCAGAGGTCTGATAACCCACACACCACACGCTTTTGCTCCTGCCTTAAGGCTGAGTCTTGAAGCTAGGAAATTCCATAGGAACTCGGAGCAGTTCTTCCTTATTAGCCATTGACCTAGTGTGTGTTTAGGCCAAAAGCAGAGAGGCCTATCCGTGAGCTTCACCTGTGCCAGCCACTGCTGCCTGGAGTCTCTGAATATTCTCATCTAGCCTCGATTGTCCTGGTTGGTATTAGCCTTTTTTTGTACTACAGGTAGACCCCGATTAGTGTGAATGAGGAATCCCCTGAAGTGGCGAAGAAATTTATTCACATTTGCACTGCACATTTCCACTAGTCTGGAACCAGTTTCAGATAGTTCTTACTTTAAGTGGACTGTTGTGCAGACTTCTACATAAAGTCATTTTTTTTACATAATGTGAACTTGCCTGCAGATGTAGGGAAGAGAGGCAGGAAGGGGACCTTGCCCCCATAGAGGGAGGGGGCTGGCACACAGTTCAAGGACACATGGGGGCCCTGGACAGAGAAGTGAGAGCAGGAGGAGGAACATGTGGGGGCCAGGGATAGCCGTGTTCGGGCCTAACTGAAACTGAGAGGGAGAGCGCACAAGGGGCAGACCTGTGGGGTCTGGGGGAACAGGACACAGCCACCACTGGGAGAGGACCGGTGATGCCTGGGGCCAGACAGCAGTCAGGGAGGTGGCGCAGGACAAATGTCTCTCTTGCTGGAGGTCTCAAGTCCAGCGCCGATCTAGTGGCAGTGTGCAGTCTCTCTCTGTGTGTCAGTTCTTCTACTTTTACTTGGAGGGGGTCTTTGTGGGGTGGGGGGGGACGGTAAGCCACAGACCAGAGAGAGAGAGAGATCACAGTAGTGTACTGTCAAGTTAACAAAGGTGTTTTTTTGGAATGCACATTTCTTCCACAATTCTTTACGTAAAGTTGAATTTGCGTAATGCAGATTTATATAAAGCAAGAACTGTCTGTATCATATTTTACATGATTATAATTTCGGATAGTCTGATTTCAAATACATGCATCCACTTCAGGGGATTCATTATTTGCACCAATTACAACTACAGCTTGTTGTATTCTTGATAAATGAGCAATCAATCAGCATGTGTTTATTAGCACTTACTATGTGCCAGACACTGCACTAATGACTGGGGATTAAAAAAAGAAAAAACAACCCACTGTTCCCGTCCTCAAGGAGCTTACATCCTAGTGGGGAAAATAGCATGAATCGTAGAATACACAGAGGGGATTAGATTGTGGAGTTCTTTAAATTCCAAGCAGAGGACTTTATATTTGATCCTGAAGGTAATATTTGCTTATTGAGTAGGGAGATGACATGGTCAGGCCTACACTGTAGGAGATCACTTGGCAACCACGTGGAGGATGAAGCAGAGTGGGGAGAGATATGGCAGGGAGGCCAGTTAGATGGTGATTGCTGCTAACTGACTGGTACTTGGGTGGTGGCTGTGTGAGTAGAGAGTGAGTGGAGGAATGGATAAAGAGAGCTGTCTTGAAGGTAGAAAGGACAGGACTTGGCAATAGTTTCACTGTGAGATGAGAATCAGGAATAGAGACTAACACTGAGATTGTGAACCTGGCTGACTGGGGCAGTGGAGGGGAGGTGCCCTCAACAGTAATAGGAAAGTTGAGGAGAGGAGAGAGCTTGGGGGGAATAACGAGTTCTCTTTTGGACATGGTGAGTCTGAGATGCCTGTGGAACATCTGGTTCGAGTTGTCTAAAAGACAAGTGGTGATTTAAGACTATAACTCAGGAAAAATTAGTATAGAGGAAGAAATGAAAAGGGCACAGGCCAGAGCCTTGGTTAGCAGATAAAGAGCCAGCAAAGGAGGATGAGAGAGGAGTGGTCAGACAGGTGGGAGAAGAGCCGGGAGAGACCGGTGTCCTACAGACCTTGAGAGAAGAGTGTCCAAGGGGAGATGGTGACCAATAGTGTCAGACTAGAGAAATCCGGAAGAATAAGAATTTTGAGGGAATGTCATTAGATTTGGCAGTTAAGAGATCATTGGTACCATTGGGGAAGGCAGATTCAATTGAATGATGGAATCAGAAGCCACATTGCAGAGGGTTTTCTAGGAGAGAAAGTATAGGCACCAAGTGTAATGGTGTTCTTAAGTTTAGCTAAAAAGGGCAAGACATGTGTTGGATGATACGATCAGATCAAGCAAGTGTTTTTTATGAATGGAAAAAGATTCAGATTGACAAAATTGGAAAAAAAATGAAAAATGAAATGCTGGAAGGAATATGGGAAACTAGATACGCTGTTGGGGGAGCTAGTGGTTCACCCATTCTGGAAAGCAATTTGTAACTGCCCAAAATAAGTTATTAAACTGTGCATATCTGTTGACCCAGTCATACCATTATTAGCTCTATCTCAAAGAGACCAAGAATGAGGAAAAGGACCCACATGTACAAAAAAATCTTCTAACAGCTCTTTTTGTGGTAGTAAAGAATTGGAAACTGAGGGGATGCCCATCAGCTGGAGAATGACTGAACAAGTTATGGCATATTGACATGATGGATTACTATTGGATTGTAAGAAATGATAAAATAAGGGGCAGCTAGGTGGTACAGCGGATAGAGCACCGGCTCTGAAGTCAAGAAGACCTGAGTTCAAATCCAGCCTCAGACACATAACACTTAACTAGCTGTGTGACCCTGGGCAAGTCACTTAACCCCCATTGCCTTAAAAAAAAAATGATAAAATAATGGCCTCAGAGAAACCTGGGAAGACTTGTATGAACTGATGCAGAGTGAGCATGACCAGGAGAACAATTTCTACAGTGACAATGGTATTATAAAGACAAAGAACTTTGAAAGACTTAAGGACTGTGATCAATTCCAGAGGACTAGTAATGAAACATGCAGTAAAGAAACACCTTTCTGAGAGCTGATGGAGTGGAGATTGAAGCATAGTTTTTGGACATGGCCAATGAAGGAATTTGTTTTGTTCAACTACATGTGTTTTGTTTTTTGTTTTTAGAAGGTCCTTATCTTTTATTTATTTTTTATGGTAATTTTTATTTATTTATTTTTGTTTTCAACATTTACTTCCACAAGATTTTGAGTTCCAAATTTTCACCCCATCTCACCCCTCCCCCCACCCCAAGATGGCATGCATTCTGAATACCCCTTCCCCTAGTCTGCCTTCCCTTCTGTCTCCCCACCCCAATCCCCTTCCCCTTCAG